CCCGGCTTCCCGATTCACAAGAAAGTCTGTCCCCTCTTATCTTGTCCAGCCTGTCAACCCCGGGGGCTCTCCAGCCAGAACGCGGCCTTCCTCCGGTACCCAGCCGGAGCCGTCTGGCCGGCCAATCAGAAGGCCGGGCGCCGTGTAATGACGCGACGCCCTGCTGTCTGATTGGCCAGGAGGCTGGCTCCATGCTCCCTCGTCATGAGATGACAAGGGAGCATGAAGCCAGCTTCCCGGCCAATCAGAATGCCGAGCGCTGCGTCATTACTCGGCGCCCGGCTTCCAAATTGGCTAGCTTCCCGACCAATCATGAAGCTGGGCTGCGCGTCATTACACACTGCCTGGCTTTCCTGATTGGCCTGGGAAGTCGGCTCCATGCTCTCTCATCACAAGTGACGAGAGAGCATGGAGCCGCTTCCCGGCCAATCAGGAAACCAGGCAGCGTGTAATGACGCGACGCCCTGCTTTCTGATAGGCCGGCTCCATGCTCCCTCGTCATGAGATGACAAGGGAGCATGAAGCCAGCTTCCCGGCCAATCAGAATGCCGAGCGCTGCGTCATTACTCGGCGCCCAGCTCCTAATTGGCCAGCTTCCCGACCAATCAGGAAACCGGGCAGCGTGTAATGATGCGCTGCCCGGCTTCCTGATACCAGAAGTACTCGTGCCAGGCATCGGAGCATTTGGGCGAGTACTCGTCCAAATACTCGGTAACGGCAACAATATCAATACTAGTATCGGTGAATCCCTACAATCAATCAGTCACGTGACCACCAGAGTACCGGCTCAATGCAGACCAGGGCAAAGGACACAGCATGATTCAGTGACATGTGCATGACGTGTCACATGCTTAAAATGTGCTCCACCCACATATTTCTTATGGCTCGCTGGGGAACGTCGTAAAGATCATGTGACTGACAAAGATCTACAATTTGGCGTTTACAAGCATTTTAAGTTCATACACAAACATGGGCATACGGGGATAACATCCACAATCTGGAGGAGCACCTTCCGGCCCCCATGCAGCAATCAGTATTACCTTTTTGGGGGAAAAGACGCCCACTGTCCCGCCATCTTCTCTTACGGCCACGCCAATATCCGCCAACAGCGCCTCCCTGTAGATGAGACAGAACCATTAATGCGTTCATGGCTCCTCCCATAGCTGGGTCAATGCTCCTCCCCCAGTGTGAA